AAGACTCATATTCAGATATAAAGAATCACTGTAAAGCAATAATAAATGGGAAGAAGAACATAAAAAAGTCAAAAAATATATTCAGGCACTTCACAAAAGTACCAATGGTCATCAAAGCACATATAAAAGGACTCAGCACCTTATGTAATTGGGAAACGCAAACTGCTCCCACGATCAGAAGCTCCCGCTCTGTGGATTATTGGAAATGTGTGTTAAAGCACGTACAGAGTCACTCGGAATAACTAAATCAACATATGACATGCTTTTCTGATGCAAATTTACAAAACAATGGTCTGTCCCCAGCATATTTCTGTCCTCTTTGCCTCTAAGCCTGACACACAGAAAAGAAGGACAGAAACTGGTATCGAAATTGGCACAACTGAATTCTTAACAAGGCTATTCTGAAAAAGCAGTCCAGCCCTCACAGTGCCCAAGCAAATGAATGAAGCCCCCTTCCAAGTCCCAGGACCTGAGAGCTTAGCCCCGCCCACCTCCTCCCAGGTTACTCTGTGGTTGGCTCTCTGTGCTCCAGCCATCAAGGCCTCTGCCTTTCTTAAACAAGCAAATCAGTTTCTGCCCCAGGGCCTTTGCCCTGGCTGTCTGCCTAGAACACTTTACCCCTGAGTCTTTACATTGCAAGCAAAGAGGACTAGTAGAGTGAGACAGAGGAAAAGCAAAAAGCAGACTTCCTATAGGAGAGTCAGAGACAGGACGGAGAAAGACCCGCTGTCCTTACCCGGCAGTCCAAGGTGGCCGGGGCCAACCTGAGGCCGAAGTGGACATCAAGGAGGCTTTCTGTCAACACCATGGCTGTGAAGCAGGTTACAAAGGGGACCAAGCATGCCACACACCTACCTGCAATTCCAGCATCCTCACCTCCTGATATGTGACAGAAGATAGGCAAGAATAGAATGAAAAAGAGAAGGCCTGTGTGTTCTAAAAAAGATGTGCCCACCAAGCCAGGCTGTGTCTCAGTCTGTTTAACTAACTTAAACTATGGCTTCTCAGGCTTTTTCACTGGGGGGTCCTAAACGCCCAGCCAGAGGCCGGACCTGAAGCTGAGCTAGAAGGAAATGCTGAGCCAGAAAATCCACTGCCTAAGGAAAGCAGTTCCAGAGGCCCCAGGTTTTGAACCTCTACCTCTAATGACAGACCCCGAAGGTCAAAGGTGCTGATGCCCTACTTTGTCCATTCCAAAAGAATAGAGGAAGCCCAGCACAGACATCAAGAGGAAAACAAACAAACAAACAAACAAACCCAAGGAACGAAAAACCAAAACCAAAACTTTTCACAGTGTGCCATGGCTCCCCTAACCTGTTACAAAAATAAAATAGTCTTCATCCCCCCCTTTATTTTAAAGTCAAAGTCATGGTGCTATTCCCCAGTAGCCAAACCCTCCCCGCTCTATCATAGCCAGTTCTCAGACTAATATCCTACCAGTCAACATTCAAAAATCAAGGGGAGACAACACCCCAATCTAAAGTAGCAGAGCCAGAAGTATCTTTATCTCGCCCATCCACTCCCTATCCTATTCTTCCCACCTTGGCAAAGGTTTCCTCACCCTCTCAGGCTTTACCTACCTCCCGCCTTCAACCTGCCCCACATATCCAATAAGTCACCAAGTCCTATAAAGATAATCAAGTAGGAGAAAGTGTGTCAAAGTGCTTGTGAAGAGACAGAGCTAGTATTTAGAAGGAAATGTATAGTTTTAATTGCGTATATTGGGAGGAAGCCTAAAATGAGCTAATAAGCACATTCTAAAATGAGCTAAGGTAATACAAAATAAACCCGAAAGAGCTAGAAAGAGGAATATTGTAAAGTAGACATTACAAAGAAAACAAAAATAGAGGGGATCGGCAAAGCCAAAGGACAGGTCTTTAAGGTTAAAAGATTGTTCTGACATTTCTGTAAACTATGATGAGGCAATATAAAAGCGAGCTATTGTTATCCACTAGAGGAAACTTCAAATAAAAAGCCTTGAAGTAATAGCTTCCTTCTGGAAAGGGCTACTCAAGCTCAGCGCTACTGACATTCTAGGCTGGGTAACTGTAAGCAGGAGGGGTTTTCCCACGCACTGCAGGATGTTTCGCAGTGTCCCTGGCTGGTCTCCACCCACAAGGTGCCAGGAGCATCACCCCCCTACCCCCAGGAGCCCTGATAACTGAAAGTGTTTTCAGACATTGTAAACTGTCCCCTGGGACGCAAAATCATCCCTGATTCAGAGCCCCTGCTTGAAGAAAACAGAAGGGCCACTTCACAGTCTACCAACTAGGACTGGATTATTCATGGCTATTCCTAATTTAAGAGTAGCTGGCTAGTCTCTCCTCTTGCTTCTTCTGCCCTAGGCCCTTCCTGCTTCACTGTCCCCATCTTTAGTGAATGTGGAAGGGAGGGAGGGAGGGAGAGGAGCTGGCTGCTCTGCCTACGAGGGCTGTGGGACGACCAGCAGGCCGAGGCAGCAAGGGCGGCTAGACAGGTCACCTCAGGTGCTTCGGCAAAGGGGCACAGAGTGTTCAAGGCGAGGGGACCAGAAAAGCTGCAAGAGCTAAGACCGGGGCAGAGCTGCCACAAGTCATGGAAGGACCAGTTATGTTGGAGAGGGGGCAGTGCATAGCTCTAACACTATAGTGAAACTTAAAAATGGCCCTTGAATCAGACTCCAAAAGTTAAATATCCTAGCAGAGCAAGGGAAGGAGACAGTACCCATGGAACAATTTTTGTCACACTGCACTTCATAGGCAATGAAAAGAAATCATTTGAAATTTTTAAAAAATTATATTCCCTGAGAATTGTATAAATATTCTTTCTGAAACATTCCAGTGGCACAGCTGCACTGTTCTGAGACAAATCACAATTAAATCCTCACCACTTCTAAATAAATAATAGTAAAGTCCCCAGAAGCATATAATTTTTGAAACATTAAGAACCTGACAAAGAGAAAAACATTCGAAGAAACCAAGAGGGAAGAAAACAAGATATAAATATATCTGTCTAGAAAAAGTCCAGGCATTGTTAATATGAGAACCATGTGCGTGACATCAATATCACCAGGCAGCCGAGGACAGCACACTGGACTATGCATTCGTGAACAATGACGACTTCACTGTACTAGTCAGTGGGGGCAGTAGATCCTGTTGAGTGAGCCTGTGTACTGTGTGGCCGTCGTATTCAAAATGACTGAGCGAGTAGAGCAACAAATCTGTATCACATTTTGCACTGAACTTGAACATTCCTCTGAGGAAACTATGTGGATGATTCAGAGGCCGCAGCTGAGGGCAACTGGTGACCGGCAGCTTCCTCACAACAACGCACCCACTCACGCATCACGTCTCAGAGTTTTTCGGCGAAACATCCAATCACCCAGGTGAATCAGTCCCCGCACAGCCCAGATTTGATGCCCTGTGCCTTCCAGCTTTTCCCAAAGCTAAAATCCCCTTTGAGAGGGAAGAGATTTCGGACTGTCATTGAGATTCAGGAAAATACGACGGGGCAGCTGATGGTGATTGGGCTATGAGAGATCCTAAGGTGCCTACTTTGAAGGGGACTGAAGCGTCATTGTCCTATGTACAATATTTCTTGTATCTTCTTCAGTAAATATCTCTCTTTTTCATATCACATGACTGGGTTTCTGGATGGATATATACCCATTATACTCACCAGCAGCACCTAAAATCCAACCTAAACTTGACAAGAGTTCTAGGGGTATGTGAAAATATACCTCTTAGAACCTAGATGATAAAAAGCAGAAAGCGATACAAAGTGACTCAGATACCTAGGGACTCTAACGCCATCTCGGGAACTATGTGAGCCAAGCAGGGGAGCCTAATAGTGCCCCTCCCATCGCCATCTCCCCTTATTTCTACTCGTTCTACTGCACAGGAGAGAAGCACAGAAGCAGTTGGGGGGAAACTCCAGCTAAGCCAGCAGTGCGCAGCGAATGACGCTGTTAAGGGGAAAAAAGAGAAACAGTGAAATGGTAATTTCCTGCCAGAGAGGATGTGGAAGCGGGGAGAGACTTCTAGAGAGTCTAAATGAGGGAAGACCGATCCCGAGCCATATGGCAGCTGCTAGGAGGAAGGAGAACTGAGAACAGTCGCATCGGTGAGGGGCGAGGACGGATGTTCATTCTGCTGGAGCCTGGAGAACGGCAGGCGCTCACTCTCCTGGGCTCCTTCAGAGCTAAGCAGTGGCGCCCTAATGAGAAGTGCCATCCCACGAGAGCGGTCTGTCAGGAAGAGCCAAGGCCTCTCTTCACCCACAGGAAGCTCACGATTACATCCCATGCCGTGAAGGACGGTAACTGAGAAGCCCTGGGCCTGGCCAGAGGACCTCACAGGAGACTGAAAACGAAGGAAAAGAAAAAATCTAGCGCCACTTCAGCAAGTTGGGGCAAAGGAAGGGGTGAGCCGCGCAAACCAAACAGGCGTGCAGAGGGGGCCGAGTAGCCACGGAGGCGCAGTTCTCCCCAGTAGGGGCGACCCACAGCCACGGGACGTGACAGGGAGGCACAGCAGCACGGCAGGAGCCGCAGGGGGCCTTCTGGGGTCCTGAGCCCATCTGAGAATTCCTCCCCGGGCAATCCCCTCACGTCTACGCACGGAGAACTGCGTGCACGTTCAGGAAACGCACAGGCCAACCCCTGGTACCCCCCATGCCTACCACCTCACAGGTCCATGACCCTGGACCGAAAAGTGTGGTCCCAGTGGCCACGGACTCCTCCAGGACTTGGGCAGGCGTGCTCCACTCTCAGATCTTGGGGTCTTGAGTCTGCATGTTTGTGAAAGAGGTAAATAAATGCTAAGGGCCTTCCCAGCACTAAAGCGCGGCTTATACAGAACAATCCATTTCCAAAGAAGGAGCATGAGTTCACTGTTGTTGTGTTTCCAGTCTGTCTCCTCACGATGGATGACCTCAGAAGCCTGGAAACACCATGCTCAGCCGCAGACATTCCCTTAGAAGGAAAGATAAGGCGACCTCTGCCACCCACTAGAGCCACTCACCGTCCAGCAGGTCTTCCTCGTCATCCCTGCTGTGCTCCTCCACTGCCACCTCCTCCTCCTCCTCCTCCTCTTCCGCATCCTCCAGCTCCACGTCCGGGTCCAGGTCTGGATCGCTCCCTGAGGCGGATTCGTCTGACATGGCTCCCAGAGGCCCTCAGGGGGCATTACCGACTCATGGTCCACTACAGGGTCCTGGGAAGAGGACAAGAGGCAGCTGAGTCACCAAGCGCTTCACTAAGGAGCATGGTTCTTTCAAAGAGACAGGGCCACGGGGGAATTCCCTGGAGCCTAAGTAGAGAAGGCTACCGAACCTCATTCCAGCCTTCCCCACAGGGGCGCTGGCCCCGGACTACGTTCTGGTGACTCTGTCCACCTCGGAAGCCCCACTGAGTCCTTCCTTTGTGCATAAGCTTCCCTTGAGCATCGGCTCCCTCTATCTGTACATGCCTACACACGCGCGCGCGCATGCCGCTACATGAGCACAGGCACGAGGCGAGGTGCGGGTACACAGTATGAAGCAGAACAAAGCATGCTGGGCAGTGCTGGAGAGTGGCGTGTGCCAGAAGGGGCTGCTATTCTACATGCGGGCGGGCGGACAAGTTAGCTCTGAACAGAAGCTGGAGGGAAAGTGCTCCAAGCAGAGGGGCAGCAAGAGCCGGGCCCTGGAGGGGCCACCGGGAGTGCTCAGGAAACAGCGAGTGGGGCCTGCCCGGACAGGCCAGGGGCCTGCCTGCGAGCTCCAAGACAGTGCCCGCTCCAGCCCCCTGAAAGAAGCGCTTCCCGCGGGCCGTTGGCTGTTTACCACACGGTCACTCCTCCGAGGCACGAAGTGCACGGGGGCCTCGGGCCCCCCATGGCTGCGGGTACCCCTGTGCCCATCTCCACTCTCAGGCTCTGTTCTACCTCTTGGCCTGGTTCCAGCTCCTCTTCTCCCAAAAAGCCTTTGCCAACAGCCCCACCCTTCTGGGGTCGCAGGCCCTCTTCTGAGCTCCATGAGCCGTGCTGGCCATGGGGACCTCCACTGGAGGCTTCATCTGGGCTCCCTGGCCAAGCGGTTTGCTTCTTTGGTTTCTTACCTCCTGGTCCAAGAGTAAACCCCTAAGGGCATGATTTAGCTGGAGCCAGAGGCATGTCCTACTCAGATCATTCCTTCCTTCCGTCACATTCACTCACTCACTCGCCAGCCTGCTCTAGAATGTTTCCTGTGCACAGGCATTGCGCATGACTGTCGTCTGTCTCTCCGCTTTACTGTTAGTGTAAAGGTCATTTCTTCTTTAGGGGGGAAAAACAGGATAAAAAAGAAAGCTAGATGACCCTGGCTATGTAGTTCAGCCGATTAGAGTGCTGTCCCCATACACCGAGGCTGTAGGTTTGATTCCCCAGTCCGGACACATACAGGAATCAACCAATAAATGCATAAACAAGTGAAGCAACAAATCAATGTCTCCCCCCACCTAAAACCAATCAATAAATAAAAACTTTAAAAAACCTAGGTGGATTGCTCTGTGATAAAGCAAATACAGCAAAATGTTAACATTAACATAAAGATTTACTGACCAGTTTTTTAATTTTTCCATAGATTTCAAATTTTTCATAATAAAATGTGGTAGGAACACAAGGAAATAATCTTTTACAAGACAAACTGCTGCAGACAACCACATCAACAGCAAGGCCATCCTAATATTCCTCCCATTTTCCAAAATAAAAACTGAAACACAAGTCTCTAATTAGTCAACACAAAACACTATTTCAGAATTGAAATCTCTTATTAAGATGCAGACACAATTTGAGACAGAACTTCTATAACACGTCCTGAACAGAAAGAGAAACAAAGCGAGGCAAGCTGGCCCCTCGGGAGTTCTGGAAAGCTGGAACTGACGTTTAAGGCGCTCCGCTTAGGGCCACCGGGACCGTGAGCGTGTGGGCCCCGACGGGCCAGTACTGGGCCTCTCAAAACAACTAAAGCAAGTAACAGCTGTGAAGTGATTTAGTAATAAAATTTAACTTTTTATCTTTATTATCACACTTCCAAAAACCTATAAAGGGCACTGAGAACAGGGAAAAGAGGTGACCCACAAGTACACACTAATATGACTCACGTTGAGCTGCCACTCACTGGTGACAAAGCAGATTTCAAACCTCTGAAGTAACGACTTGTGTTCTTAGTTCATTAGGTTTAGAAAGGAAGTAGTAAATTACTTAGAAATCAGCAGCTTTGAAAGGGAATTTTTTTCCTGAATGTGAGTATGATAACTCATCAGTAACTACTCTGTAAATCGGTTTTGTAATCGGCATCACCCCTGCTCACCCGAGGCTGCTTTGGGGTGGGTATTTTGCTTACAGTGTGCTTGGCTGGTTATGGAGTGGCTTTTGGAAGACAGTTTTAATTAGCAAGTACCTTCGGGTAATCGGAATGCCTGTCATTTTAGAGAAGATACTATGTCACAGAGGAAGAATGTCAATCACCTTGAGTTGAGTGGTCATAAGGAAAAGCCTCCTGTAAACCCCCAGTACACGAACACCTTCAAAACCTCAGCCCTGTGCTCCTGCTAGAGGCAAACATCAGTTAAACATCTAACAATCACATGTGCTACCAGGATAGTAGAGACATCGATCTGTCCGGCCCCCTGCTCAAAATGTAACAATGGAGGACACTTTTAAAGTCGTACCCAGGCCTTCAGATGCCCACAACAGAGAAGCTGGAAAGTGATGAATTTTTTAAGTCCCACCAAATTTGGTTTTGCTCTCTCCTACCTTCCCATGAGCCACTAAATTTCTTTACAAAGGTGACACAATGAACTCTCCCTTCTCAGCTATTTAGAACCACAGCAACTACTAAAAAGGCAAGCTTTGCTGCTGCTGATCTCCTCAAAAAGCAACGAAGGGAAAGCGGCAGGGTAGGGGGATCCCGGGCCGGGCTGCGCTCCCTGGCTCCGCCTCTGGGGTCCCAGCCCCACACGGCCGCTCCCCCTGGGCACCGCCTTTCAGAGCACAGGGAAGGCAGCCTGATTCGAGAGCTTGAGGTAGAAATGCAAGAAGAAACAAATAAGTTTCTGTGCACATACCGTGTTCATGGATAGGAAGAATTAACATCATTAAAATGCCCACACTACCCAAAGCAATCTACAGAGTCGAAGCAATTCCTATTAAGATATCAATGGCATATTTCACAGAACTAGAACAAATATTCCAAAAATTTATATGGGACCACAAAAGACCCCCGAATAGCCACAGCAATCTTGAGAAGGAAGAAGAAAGTTGGAGAAATAATGCTACCCAATATCAAACTATACTACAAGGCCATAGTAATCACAACAGTCTGGTCCTGGCATAAGAACAGGCATAAAGATCAATGGAACAGAATTGAGAGCCCAGAAATAAACCCACACCTTTATGGTCAACTAATATTTGACAAAGAAAGCAAGAATATACAATGGGCTAAAAGAGAGTCTGTTCAATAAATGGTGTTGGGAAAATTGGACAGATATGTGCGAAAAAAAAGAAAAGAAACTAGACCATCTTCTTACATCCCACACAAGAATAAACTCAAAATGGATTAGACTCACTCATCAGAGACTTAAATGTTAGATTCAAAACCATAAAAATCCTAAAAGAAAACCTAGGCAGTAAAATCTCAGACATTTCTCATAGCAGTATTTTTTTCTGATATATCTCCTTGGGCAAGGAAAACTAAAGAAAAGATAAATGAATGGGACTACATCAAACTAAAAAGATTTTGCACAGCAAAGGAAACCATCAACAAAAGCAAGACAACCCACTGGATGAGGGAACATATTTCCCAATGAGCCACCTGATACGGGATTAATATGCAAAATTTGTAAAGAACTTCTATGACTCAACACCAAAAAAAAAAAATCCAATTTAAAATGGGCAAAGGACCTACCGTATTTTGCTGAGTATAATGCACACCCATGTTTTGTGTGCATTATATACAGGATTATTATGTCTATTGTTATACTTGTGGTATGTAATCATCATACCCATGTCTAATGTGCATCCTTATTTTTCTCTCAAAAATTTGGGCAAACGAGTGTGCATTATACACAGCAAAATACAGTAACTACACACTTCTCCAAAGAGGGCACACAGATGACCAACAGACACATGAAAAGATACTCAATGCCACTAATCATCAGAGAAATGCAAGTTAAAACCACAACGAAATAGCACCTCATACCTGTCAGAATGGCTGTCATCAATAAATCAACAAACAAGTGTTGTCAAGGATGTAGAGAAAGGGGAACACTCATGCACTGCTGGTAGGAAGGCAGACTGGTGCAGCCTCTGTGGAAAACAGTATGGAGTTTCCTAAAAATATTAAAAATGGAGCTGTCTTATAACCCAGCAATTCCACTTCTGGGAATATAGCCAAAGAAACCCAAAACAGTATTTCAAAAGAAATCATGCACCCCCATATTCACTGCAGCATTATTTACAATCACCAAGATTTGGAAGCAGCCCAAGTGCCATCCGTAAATGAGCGGATAAAAAAGCTGTGGTACATTTATACAATGGAATACTACTTGGTCGTAAAAAAAAAAAAAAAAAAAAAGGAAATCTTATCCTTTGTGACAGCATGGATGGGCCTGGAGAGTATTATGCTAAGGGAAATAAGCCAGTAAGAGAAAGACATGTGCCATGTCTGAAATCCACTTATATGTGGAATCTAATGAACAAAATAAACTAACAAAATAGAGAGACTCATAGAATAGACTGACAGCTGTCAGAGGGGAGGGTGGGTGGGAAGGCTGGGCAAAAAAGGTAAAGGAATGAAGCAAAACAACGATAACCTCATAAACACAGACAGCGGTATGGAGACTACCAGAGGAAAGGGGCATGAGGGGAAGGAGGCAGTAGCGGGTAGAGAGGGGATAAATGGTCCTGGAAGAAGACTTGATTCGGGGTGGTGATCACACGCTGTAACATACAGATGATGTATTACAAGATTGCACATCTGAAACCTACGCAATTTTATTAACCAATGTCACCCCAATAAATTCAATTACTTAAAAAAAGCTAGAAGTACAGACTCCCGGAGATGAGGGCGACGTCTTACACTAAGTCTGTACGCCCCACGCTGCAGTGTGTGTAAAACGTGTTCAATGCATACGTACAGAGTGATTAAAAAAAAGAAAGAAAGAAATGAGCTCCTACATGATTACATGTCCTGA